TTTCTAGTGGAAACAATGTTCCTTCTGGTTGAAGTTCATTTCGCCATTCGCCATTTACAATTTCACGAGTAATAGGATTTTCCGAATCAACTGAACCCGGGCACAAATAATATTTTGATGTAGAAATCAAAAAGTTATGCAATGCACATATTGCCAGAGTAACATATTTTACTTTTTGAGGTGTTAAATGTATTGGTTTACGGAGGACTCTGAATTTACTGCACATAATGCCAAATACATTTTCTATAATACGACTAGCCCTGCTTAGTCTATAGTTAAAAATTCGGTTCGGCGCAGGTTGATTTCGGAACCCATAGGGCTTTAAAATGTATGACGTCATAACAAAGGCATCATCTGCTACCATTATGTATGGAACTGGCAAATGTCTTTGAGGTAGTGCTTCTGGTTCGGGAAGAGTTAACTGTTTGCTTTCCAAAGCATCGTGTAGGGAGCAGTTATTGAACACCCCTCCGTCAGAAATTCTACCATTACAACCAACATCAACATAAATTAATTTATAATTGGCATCTGCAACTCCCATCAAAACAATGCTGTGTGTGTTCTTATAGTTATAGTAAAGGCTTCCACTATTTTGTGGAGCCACTATTGTAATATGTTTGCCGTCAATTGCTCCAAAGCAATGTGGGAATTGCCATTTTAATGCAAATTGATCTGCATATTTCTTCAATTCTTCTGTGCTAGAAGGACACTGAAATAAAAATACATTATTGCTTAAAATAATTATAAAAACAAATCTAGCTTAAGTCAATAAAAAAATTTTACAAGCGTTTAAATTTTAAATTTTTAAGATTATAGAAATTTTAAAATTTTAAATTCAAGTGTAAAATAACGATTTACTATAAAATGGTTTTAGATATAACACTAGACTGACAATTCGTGTCCATTCAAAATCGTTTTTCTTCGTATATAATGATTTATTATTGAATTCAATTTTTTTTTTTATTAATATATTATATTGGCCCAGGTTATTTACTTGTTTGTTGTTACCACAACACACATTCTTTATTTTTTAGTTTCTTACTTTTCAGAGTATCCAGAAAAACTTGGAAAGTTCGCAGAGTGAGCCAACCCTAAATGAACCAACACCGAGTAAAAAAAAAAGTTCCAACAAAAGGCAGTCCCAAACTAACGATGATGAAGATACATATTTAAAGGAAGCTATTGACATTATGAAAAAGCCGAAAACCGATTTTGATCGCTTTGGAGATTACGTCGCTTTGGAATTAAAATCTTTAAAATCAGATTACTACAGAGGGCTACTGAAAAGTGAGATTCGTAAATCAATAGCAAATATTGCTGAAATGGACGAAAGAAGCCACTGGTCTACCTATTCAAGTACAAATTCTTCATCATGCTCCACTCCAATGCCTACGCCATCACCTACTTTCGCTGAGAGCATTCCTCCGTCAACAAGTAAAGAGCCTCAGACAACCCAAGAATATTATGATTCATTCACTGATTTGTTTTAAGTAAATATAATTATTTAAATTTGTACTCTAGTTACGTAAAACAGTGATAATAAGTGATAATATGTAATAAAATATTAAGTTAAAAATGTTAAGTTTAAATCAAAATTAATTAAGAAATTGTTCAATAAAAAAAAAAAATAATAATACATGTTTCTACATACCTTTAAATATTTTTCCTTTAAATTATCATAAATAGCTTGGCATACTTCGAAGACTATTCTTCCAATTGTACAAGGTGGAATGCGAAAAAGGTATTGCAAACTACTGTAAGCATCTCCTAAAAAAGAAAATGATACTTGAAACTAACAAATCCAAAAAAACATGTATATATAATATATATGCAGGATGTCCCACGGAGATTTACACAGAGCAATATCTCCCGTGTTGATAGAGATAATCGAATTCTGTTTTTTTTTATTTTACTCATAGAGCTAAAATATTTATTTGATCTTCATCTATTCTCATTCTACTATATATATAAAACTAGGTATAAAACCACATACGTACCTGAAGCCAAAAAACGGAGGGTGACCATTAATCTGTCATGAACAGGAATCGCTTCACGCAATTGTGTATCTTGCTTGACAATCTGGTGTTTTATTAAATCCAAAAGCATTTCAAATTGCACTGCAGACATCCGAATAAAATTTTTAAACTGCTGTGCATCCTCCAACCGAAGCTCATTTACAAGATTTGAAGCGGCTCCCAAGTCACTTCGACGGTCCACCCATTTCCTAACCCAACATTTCTTTTTTCTTTTTTCTTTTAGCTTTCGTTTTTGTACAATATTATGCGCAATTATAAAAGCTAGGGCCTGACGCGAATCCATTTTGTAATAAAAGAAAGAAAAAACATTCAAATTTGTAAAAAACACATGTACTCGCGGTCAAGTCACACACAAGACTGTGTGTGTTAACTCTCTAGTCGACACGAAATTGTCTTGGTCTCGAGATTAATGTCACTTTCGAGTCTCAAAAACCTATCTCGAGACCGTGATTGATCTCAAATGGATAACATCCTGAGATCAATCTCGAGACTTTCTCTCGAGCTATAATCTCAAGTGGACACTTACCATTAAACAATTTTTTGACTATGGTTTTGAAATGATAGTTTGTAAATTAAAAAAAATGACACAACAATCAAGTATTAAATTTAACTTGTATCTCGACTGTGTTTACGTACAGGTGTTAACACAGGAACGCCGAGATATTTCATTTAAAACAGAGAATATGCTAGCATTTAGGTTAAAAAAAATTTCGAAAATTTATTTTAAAAAATGTTTAATAAGCTTATTAAAGAAGAATCGGATTTTATGATTCGAGGAAGTGGTTGGTGTTTAGAATCAATTGATACATTACAATTAAGGATTAATATTGTAAACCCGTTAACCGGATCTCGTTATTTAATTTCGGTAAAACACGATTGTGTACGATTTTTATCTGCAACTTTGAATTGCACTGTTGTCATTTGCTCTGAACTTATAGAACAAAGCTGGCCAAACTTTTTTTGGTCACGGTCTACTAAAAATATACTTCACCTTTGAGGATAGACTTATTAATCAACTTATTGATCGACTATGATTAAGAAACATAGAGCGCGTGGCCCTTAAAATAAATTCTAATATGATCGACTTTGAAATTGTCCAAGATCGGTCCAAGTGGTACCGTAACTTAAGTCATTTTTCCAATATTTAAATTTTACTGATCTCAAATAAAAACATAAATTTGGCAACGTTGCACAGTAAATCATACGCAATCATGTGGTACCCTTTAAATTTACCTAACTTTATACGAAATAAGAAAGCTGTTATAAATGTAAAAAACAATGATAACAAATGTTTCAAATATGCAATTTTATCAAAATATAATAATCGTGCAGATAAAACTAAATTTAACAAACCATATTTTAAAATTCTTGAAGAAAAAAGTGATTTAAATTTTCACTGTATCGATTTTCCAATACCACTTAAACAAATTAAAACATTTGAACGTAAAAATAATGTATCAGTTAACGTTTATGGTTTAAATGTTAAAAATATTGTTTTTCCATTATATATAAATAATGTTGAAGAAAAAAACCATTTCGATCTGCTTTTAATTAATGAAGGTGAAACATCGCATTATTGTTTTATTCATAATTTGTCTAGACTTATACGAAGACAAAAGACAAAACATTCAAGTAAATTAACTATATGCAAAAGATGCTTTACAGTTTTTAGTAATAAGACTTGTAAATATTAGCTATGGGGTACCCACCGTGCAAAATACTGTTACAAACATTCCAGTAATATATACTTTTATGTTCCTTAATAAACATTACAATGTAATATTATAAAATAATTACAGGAAGGTTTTTGCAAAACATACATTTTTGAAGATTGTCAATATTTCGAAAAACCATTCCATTTATGTGTAATAAATGTGTTGTAAAATATGTTTCGTATCTTACATCATGGTAATGATATTATCATGTTTTTAGGTAAACGATAATTTACCGAATATTCTATTTTTAAATTATGATGATAAATATTATAGTGTTTATATGGGCCGCCCGTTTCGCCTGTCGGCCGTCGCGACAACAAACACCAATGACAATATAATAATTAATATAACACTTTGTCCCCACGTAAATCTTAAACGATTTGAGGTTATTTTATTATATTTATTCTTTTTCTGCACGTCGCTGTTAACGTGTTCGTGTTGTGTATTTCCATAATTTCATTTTCTGTGGCTGCATTTTCGTTCTACAACTCTGAAGTCTGACATCAAGAAGCTGCTAGCATGTCGAATACTTTGAAAAAGGTAAGCATTTTTGTAGTTAAACTAATTAATATACAATTCATATTTAGATACCTATCATAACAATTTATTTTTACTTATGTCAGAATAATATGTAAAAAAACTGGTATTTATTTATTTTATACCATCAGTTTGGGTGACTGAGTCTAGATTTTTGTTATTCTATTTTAAATACCAATTACAAAAGCCTATTATAGGTACATAAAATATTAGTATAAACGGTTTATAATAAACCTAAAGTGCAAGATCCATTTTAGAATAAAAATACCGTGTTCCAAATCGCCCAGACTTTATAGTGTTTTGAATTTCGATTATGTCAACAAATACTATATATCTAATCATTTAAAATACCTCATATTATAGTTTACTGTATTATTATATTTATCTGGAATAATTTGTAAGTATATAATATAATAATTTAGTGTGCTTGAAAATGGGAAGTACGAAAGCATGTTTTTATGATCGAATTTTGCTACCAGAACAGCCTCTTAATGCTTTTTGATAGCAGTTACATTTACCTAAGTTAAATTGATTCCAATATTTTTTTAATTCAGTTGTAGGTACCTACCTATGTAATTTTATTTTGTCTTATTGAATTACCTACTATACTTACTTATTATTTAAATATTTTACCAAAACATTATACATTTATACATATTACCTGATACCTAATGTCTTTTCAGTTTCATACTAAAAAACAAAAATGGGTAGTCGTCATATTTTCTCCAAAAAAAGACCATAGTGTAGTCCCAATTAACTGGCTTGTTGAAACAGAAACACAAAAATTGTATACAATTTTGTTACTGGCCATCAATAAGGGTAACTAGTACAGATTTACAAGAGGCTGTAAGTCCAGATCCGTCCTGGAATCAATATAAAATCCGTGTAGTTGGTGGCAACAAAACTTACAGTATGTAAAAACCAATCATTAAATTTTGTAATTTCAGTATATACATGTATTAAACATAAATGTTGATTTTTTTCTCATTGACTTTATTGGTATATAGGTAATTTAAGTAAAGCTTGGCATGAGCGAATTGAAATAGAATCAACTGACAAAGAGAGCATTGTAAATGATAATCATCTGTTTAAAAGAAATAAAAAAAAGAAAATTGTTGATTCTAGTGATAGTAGTGAAAATGAAGGTAAATATTTATTAGCTCTGTCAAATTATTAATATTAATTGTTTATTTGATTTACTTTGTTTTAAGATTCAAGTTATACTATTGTACCTTGTAATATACAAAATGAATTGCTGTTTAATACTACAAGAACTCAACAAAATTCAATACATACCGATGCAATTCAAACAGTAAATACTAACACAATTACACAACAACAACCGTCTACATCGACTTATACACATGACAATAATTTTTCATCAATTGAATTTAATAAACCGGGTTCCATTATTAGTCAAGTTGATTGTTATACAAATGTTCTATCAAGTTCTTCTTTTTCGGCAGTACCAGCATTTTCTGATAACCAAAAAAAATCTTATACAGATCTGGAAGTTAAATCATTAACTTCACCAAATTCAACAATGATACAACACTCAAGTATGATAGAACCGTTGACATATGACTCATCATATATAGAACCACAGGTAATGTTCTAAACAAATCTAAACTTACTGCAAACAACTTGCCTCTTAAATATTATATTTAATATTTCTTAAAAAGTGACTATAATAGGAGGTACCTGTATAATCAAACTAATATTCATTATTTTTTGTTTGACAGGATAATTATTTAGAAATTCAAAATGAACCATTAACATTTTCCCAAGATTCTCCTGAAGGTAATATACAATTTTTTAATTTTTTTATAGATTATTTAGTATATAATTCATACACATTAGACATTACTCATTAAATTTAATACAAAATATAAATGGACATTGAAAAACTCTGATATTGCTTAATATTTTTTTTTGGTACCAACAGTAGGACATTTATTTCATAAAATATATTATACAATAGTTGTTATAGAAGGAAATACAAAAATTGTACAACATATTTATGAAGAGCTTGTAGCAAATCGCTTAATGAATCAGAGACTCTGGAATATGATGAATAGTTTAAATAATGATATTAAAAAGTTAACTATAGCTAATGTATCAACATTAGGAATATCTAATGAATTTGAAGATAAAATATTTTTAGAAAAATTTCCTTTTTCAAAAAAAGAAGACATTTTAGAGTTCGAAAGGCTATTACAAATTGATAATAATGACAGAGAAAAATTGGTATATTTTTTTAATCTTATTTTTTACCTTATTTTAAAATTATAAATTGAAGTTATATAATATGACTTGTTTGTTAGAAAATTATGTTTTGCTCAATTGGAGGTAATGACGGTAAACCTCATTTACGACGTATATTGTCAAAAACTTTTACCAATCAACTTGCAATCGATTGTTCTTGGACAGGCAGGGCTTTTGATAAAGATCAGACTAAATTTAAAATAAAAGATTTACAGATAATTTCAATTATTAAAGGTAATTCATTTTAAATTAAATTTATCTTGAGTAATTTGATACAACTGTAACTATGACTAAATATTATAAAAGTATAAAATAAAAATATAATGTATGATTTTTTAAACATGCTCACCCCCATTTTTTAACCTTAATATTACATTTATTCAAATTCTGATTTTTAGAGTTTTTAAGTATACCTATAAAGACCATATTTCGAAATTCCTGATATTTTGTGTACTACTTTTTGTCCTGTGGCAATACAGACATAATTCCCCAAATCTTCTTAACCATTTCTATAGACATACCATCATTAATACACAAAAATATATAACTCAAGAACTCCCTGTTAGAATTTTGATTTAGATACATTAAAATTCTCCAAAAATATATCTGCTAAATATTTAAAAGTAAAAAAGGGGTTATCCTATTTGAAACCCAGAAGTTTGTTATGTTACAGGAACATCCTTAAGGTTAGGTTAGGTTACCTAACCTAAAAATGTCAAGTATTAACCCGTCAGTGGTCGCGATGTGAGCGCCACGCTCACATTTAAACGAGTTTGGTCATCACTGGCTTGTTTCTGGTGTATTTCGTGTGAAACTATAAATACCTCTTATCGACATATGAACAAATATAGAAAAAATCAGATGTTATGAATTTATCAATATTTCTGCTTTGTGTTGAAGGTTAAAGTCATTAGTCACGAATAACTGAGCGCAGTGCTCACACGCGACTAATGCCGTATTTATTTTATTTTGTTATATTGTGGTTTGTTTCGTATTTTTATATGAAAATGGATAAAGTGACACAAAATATCACCTCATGGGTAGAAGAATCCGAAGATTTAGAATGTTTATATGATACAGATGATTCGGCTGATGATCCTGATTTTGTTCAGCCTGATATACAAGAACAATGTGAAAGCGGTCTGATTTTTCTGATACAGAATTTATCGCAAATAAATCATTGAATACGCGTAATAGACCAAGTACATCTCGTAGATCTCGTTCTAGAAGCCCTTTGTCAAATAGTACTTCTCAACCCTCCTATTATTTAGGTAAGGACAATATTACGAAGTGGAATATTGACGGCCCACCTTTGAATGTACGTACGCGCTCACATAATATAATTTTACATTTGCCTGGGGTAAAGCGGTATGCGAAAGACGCCAAGTCTATAGTTGATTGTTGGAGTTTGTTTTTTCCCAATACGGTTATAGAAGAAATTGTAAATTGTACAAATATCTATTTAGCTAAAATCAGAATCAATTATCAGAGAGAAAAAGACGTACTCGACACTAATATTATTGAAATAAAAGCGCTCTTTGGTCTCTTATACCTAGCAGGTTATCTTCGAAGTAATCATTTGAATCTAAAAGACCTATGGTCAAATGATGGCTTCGCTCCAGAATACTTTCATGCAGTTATGCCTGAAAAACGTTTTTACTTGTTATTACGTGCGCTTAGGTTTGATGATTTTCGCACGAGGAAGGAAAGGTTATCGATAGACAAACTGGCTGCAATTCGATCCGTATTCGATGATTTTGTAAAACGGTGTCAGGACTGCTATACTATAGGTGAAAATGCTACGATAGACGAAATGCTAGAAGGATTTAGAGGGAGATGCAATTTCAGACAATATATTCCCAATAAACCGAACAAGTATGGTATAAAAATCCAAGCGTTAGTCGACTCAAAAACGTTTTACACTTGTAATATGGAGGTATATGTCGGGACGCAACCAGATGGCCCTTTCAAGTGTGAAAACAACCCATCAAGTGTTGTGAAAAGGCTGATTTCACCGATATCGAAAACGGGACGAAACGTCACAATGGATAGTTGGTATAACTCCATACCACTGGCGACTGAATTGTTGAAAACTCATAAACTTACTGTAGTTGGGACTCTACGAAAAAACAAAAGAGAAATACCAACTTGTTTTTTGGATACAAAAAAAAGGACTGTAAACTCAACCATTTTTGGCTACGGAAAAGATATATTACTTACTTCATACGTCCCAAAAAAAAACAAAAATGTCCTTATGATATCCACTATGCATGAACATGGAATTATAGATTCTGAATCCGGAGACCAGAAGAAGCCAGAAGTAATTACATACTATAATTCCACAAAAGGTGGCGTTGATGTGGTTGACGAGCTCAAGGGGGAGTACTCTGTAGCAAGGATCAGTTGCAGATGGCCACTTACGATATTTTTTGCACTTATGAACATCGCGGGAATCAATAGTCAAATCATTTTCCGAGACAATACCAACCAAACTATAAGCCGACGGTTGTACTTGAAAACCTTAGGAAAAGAATTGACTAAACATTTTATGATTCAACGTTTACAAAATAAAAAATTATCAATTCCTCTTAGACAGACTATTATGAAACTGACTGATCAGGTAGAAAAACCAACGGTAGCACCGACTCCTGAATCTAGTGATCGCCCAAAATGTAGATTTTGTCCGAAAAGAAAAAATCGTAAAACTATGGTAATTTGTTTTATTATTTACTAAATGTAAACATTTTTGTATTATTCTAAATTATATTTGCAATGATTTTCAGGTACGTTGTGAAATGTGTAATGTTCCTATTTGTAAGGAACATACAGTGGCAACATGCACGTCTTGTGGTAAGAATAATGAAATCGAGTCTGATAGTGAATAATGTTAGGAAGTAAATGCTTATTTTTTTAATAATTTTTTCCATTTTTTTTTTATATACATAATGTTACAATTAATAATAATTCTTACGAAATTTACTAAATTTATTATTACTATTCTTAAAACTGTGTATAAGGTTTAACAAAGTATTATTTATGTTCATAATTTTATAATTTTAAATTGTTATTATAAAAAGTTGTATTTAAAAGATAATATATATTTGATTTTTAATTTCTAAATATATTATTATTTTTAATCATTATAAGAAATAAAAGTAATATTTTAATGCATTATTTTTGTTTCATCGACAACCACAAACTTGAATTTAAGATTTTAAACTTATTCAAATGAAAATCGTATGTAAAATTGGCAAAACAGGTATAAAGAGCGCTGCGCTCACACGCGACTAACGGTGTTATAAAAATCATCGCGACCACTGACGGGTTAAATAT